AAACGCTTTTGAGTAATACAATGAACACAATAAGGGCCCTGACAGTGCAGTTTGTCAATGTTTATTTCACACAAAGACCTCATTCAGAATTAACTAAATACATTGATAATCAGTTTATGTCTCAAGGACGTACACCAATGGGCATGACATCAGCGATTTTCAATGATAGGGCTGTACATGCACAATGTCAGGGTTGAGCGGCTCCCCCTCCAGTTTAATCTTGGCTGCAGGCAACATTACGTAACAAGGACCTTCTTAATCAACAACCCACTATTACAGGGGATCTAATCATTTTGTTCCTAGCCTGAGCTTATCTAGACACACAGTATCTCGTCATCAATGGAGAAAGAGCGCCACAGCACTTTGGACCTCATGCAATCGTCTATTGCCTAGTAGATATGGGATGTTAAATCCAGGCAAATTTGAGTGCTGTTTTCCAAACAAGGATCAATAAATCATCCTGTAATCATTATCACCATGGATGGTCTTTTTACACTCCTTGAGAGCTTGAGCTACATGTTTTGTATTCAAGGACAAAGTAAGACAGAACAGCATGATGGTCCTTTGTATATCTGTAACTGTTTACTAAGACAACTGGCTAACAAAACAATAAATAAGGCAATGAAGTAAACAAACACACAACAAGTAATGCACTGTAATTTGTATATATCTAATTAAAACAATTTGTATGTAAGTAATGTATAACCGCGCAAATATCTGCATAGGAAGTAATCCAGTGGATGGTTGAGGCCAAAACACCAGACAGAGAACATCGTCTTGGACTTATTTGACAACTTACAAACTTATAACAACACTTGCGTTGTTATCATAACCCAAACCTCAATAATTCCTATTCCTTCCTAACCAAGCAGTTTTGTTGCCTTATCCTAGCCAAGTTATTTACTGTGAAGATTGGAGGTTATTTTAAAAAGAATGGATGTAATAAGTTAAATGTAACATGTTTTGTTGGATAATCTTGAGAAAATGCTTAAAAATGTACTTTTTCGGAAGATATCACTCTCACAATGTATGAGGAGATATGTTGAAATAATGACTTTGTATGTTCAGCCACCTTTTCTATGTACATGAAAACTAACATAATGTACCAGACCACACACACATACTGTACAGTATTTTCTAACTCCATGATATTCCTTAAAACAATCTGACTGCATGAAAATCAAACACTGTGTACATTTACATTATGACTTGGCAAAAGAAAAAATATGCAACACAAAGAATAAGCATATACACATTTTTAAATTGCAGAATACCGCAGGTGACTTGTAATGGGTTTTATTTTTAAAATATACCTTAAAGGGGGCCGTATTGTGGTTTTAATCGATCCCTTTTCCTGTAGTGTGTTATTTAGGTTGTTGTGAATGTAAATGGCCCTCAAAGGCTAACATCCCCAAGTCCTTTGTTTACTTCCTTGACAATGTGACATCACTGTGTTACACCCTTGCTTCAATTGGCTTGCTCTCCAACACATTGTGCCTTATAGGCTAAGAGGTGGGATATCTCTAAGAGGTTGACCAATCACAACCGAGCCGGCCAGCTATCCAATTAGAGCAGACTGGTCTCTGGCTTCAGACAGAGGGTGAAAAGAGGTGCTGCAGCACAGGCAGTATGAGAAAAATAAAGACTGTTTAATATTAAAACATTAAAACAGGTCACAGTAGAGGCAGAGAATACAAATATGAAACCTGAAAATAAGCTTATCACGCCTTGTTCCTATTAAGCCCTTCAGATGTCTAATGATGTAAACCAGCAAAACATACTCAGTTACACATCCTACTTCCCTTATACGAACTGTAACTAGTTATTTGGGGAAAATACATTGCCAAAGCTTCATGTGAGTATTTTCTAACACTAATACATTAAACTGAGCAGCAGGAGGGAGTAAACTTTGCGTCTGCTGCAGCTCTCCGTCCTGTTTATTGCGGGCAATAAGTCTGCAGAGAGGTTTTAAAACTCAGCACATACTGCAGGCATCGTCACTGCAGGAGGAACCTGTCAAGGTAAAACGGCTTCTCTATACCTGAATGAAGTGCTGACTTAAAACAAAATCCTTAATTTAACTGTCTTATTCTTTTCCTATAGTGCATGATATTGGTTGACAATCAGAACATATGAATAGGCAAGGCAAGGCATTTCCCTTATTATCTTGTATTTTGTTAATTTAAATAATCCTAAATTTAACAAATATACTAAATATGACTTGGCAAAATGAATGAGTTTTTCATATGCTATTAAAAAAAGAAACTCAAAATTACAGTCTTAACATCTATGCTTCAACATCATCAATATAATAATATATAGATTTCTGCTTTATGTATATGGCACCACCCTATCTCCTCCGGCGGAGACATAAATGACTAATTATGTTTTAATAAGAGAGGAAGCTTTTTAAATATGCACTATGTTATTTATCAGTTGCACTGTCCTTCAACTGAACTTCAACTATTGATCAGGAAGGATTAATGACCATGGCCAACGTTTTTGAGTTGAAAAACATGGTTGTACTGTATATGAAAACTATATTAATTGTTGCATTGTAATAATTGCTGAAACGGACTAATCATCTATTCCGAAAAAAAATCAACATGTGAAGTAAAACATGGACCTATTGGTGTCTGAAACCTCAAGCAGTATGGGTCTATTTTACTCACCCTTTTCCATGCAATTTCAAACCTGAAATGTGTGAAAAGGATCTTGTCATATCAAGTACTTTCTACAAAACTTAACTCGTCTCTTTCATTAAATTCATTATCATTTCAAGTATTATTGGTTGGCACGAAACTAGTCTGTCAAGTACACATACCAAACTGTAACCCAGGGTTTATAATTGGTTGGTTTGATCAGTTTTCCTTTTTTGCTACAGACTTTCAATGCTGACATTTGGGTTTTGTTTTTCTATGTTGGTCCAGATGAAGTGGTGTGTTGCTGTTGTGTTGGCAGTGTTGCAGCTCTGCAGCCCGGCGCTGCAGACTGACCCGCTGCTTTACATCTCCCAGATGCATGAAGGGAAAGAACAACTCCGCAGTAAGTCTTAACAATACAGAGTTTCCCATTTACCATTTTTTATTATGTTTACATGTTGCATTACATACAATATAAGATATACTTTATTGATCCCAAATTGGGAAGTGTTTTCATGTTGCATTCATAGAATTTTCTCCCAAAAGACAATAGTTTGCGTCCCAGGTGTAATCAAAAGTCAACACGTTTTTTATTTAAGTTACGGAAGAAATACATTACAACATTAGTATCTAGCAAAGTCAGTGGAACCCTCTTTATCAAATATGTATAACTATATATAACTACTCAATTTGACCTAAACCACAATATTTTCCTAAACCTAACAAAATATTCTATTTGTCTTAACCTATCTCTTTTTACGACGTTTAATAGAAAGGCAATCTTGTCGTTTTGTATGAAGAGATGTTAATCGGTCAGCTGTATGCGTCCTCGAAAATTAACACTACAAGTCTCGCAGAAGCAATTAAGTAAATGTTTTCCATGAAGGAAACACTTTCAAACAAAATACGCAGGCAAGGGAGTGAAAAATATTGTTTGCTCATGAGAAATACGCGTTGGTTTACCTTGGATTGAGACTTGATTCAGTCATCTTTTTTGAAATTATGGCAATTGATTTGATTCATCCTGTATTCTCTTTCAGAGGCATGGCTCAACCCCACGCTGGAAGATGTTGTCCCATCCCGGGAAGTGACCCAAGCTGCTGAAATGAGAGAGATTCTAGAAACTGAGACGACCACACACTCCTACCCCATGTTTGCTGAGCACACCAACCTCAAGTGGGTGACATGGAGCGGCTTCCTCCCAAGCGGTGCCGTTGCTATCTTCAACGGCTACACCGAACGCACTGACTACGTGTGCAAAGTCAACTGTGAAGCCGGGTTCTATTCTCCCAGTAAAGGGAACTTCTGCCAGTACCCATACGCCGACAAAGAGTACGCATCCACAAAGTTTGAAATGCTGATTAACGTTGACCACTTTGAGTTCCTGGAGTGGGTTGAAGAATCGTATGGATCAGTCCCAGGTTATGCCATCAGAACCTGCCCTGACTCAGATATCTTTGTGGGCAAAAATAAGTATGGTCTCGGCAAAGTGGTGACCCAACATGAGGCCTTCTTCCTTCCCTGGGAGGGCGATGAGTATTGGTACAAGAGTTACCAGGTTCTTGCGATCAACAGAGACAGCTACAGCCAGCACATCTCTCATGTGGAGTATGGCATCGACCAGATGGAGCTCTTCCACTATCCTCCGGAGGCCCTGCAGCTCGCCAAAGTCACCAACCTAGAGTGCAGAAATGTGGAGAAGACAGTGAAACTGGAGAAGACAAGTTCTGTGGAGAAGTCCTGGGACATTGGCAGAGAGACCCGCAATGGATCCATCTCCACCATGAAGGCCAAAGTGCCCATCCTTGGCCCAGGGACTGTGGACCTCAGCAAGGAACATTCGGTCACCTTTTCAGAGGGAACCAAAACGGTGGAGGCCATCAGTCACACCGTCTCTGTCAAGCTTGTGGTCCCACCCAACCACTCCTGCACCGTGAGGATGGACGGCAGAAAGATGACGGCCGACATTCCCTTCACTGGCAGGCTGAGCAGGACCAACCACAACGGGGACACCCACTGGACGTACATCACTGGAATCTACGACGGCGTGACGGTTGGAGAAATCAATGCTGTCGTGGAGAGATGTCAGCCGGTGAATGACGCTGTTCCCTGCTCCCCAACTCAAGACTGATGATCAGTGTGTTGTATTAAAAGGAAAATGTAAAGAAAATTGTTTCCAAATATATTACAATAAAAAATGTCAAGGACTCAGTTTTTTGTTTTCTTTCAAGTAAGATATTAAAGGCCAGCAGTTACTATCACCAACCTGACCCTTGAAGTCATTTTCAGATGAGTTATTTTGTAATACTACTTGTCAAGTTACAAGAATGTAACATGTATTAGATATCTATCTTTAAAGATTATTTTGGAGCCAGTTTAGCCTCTATTAGAAAGGGGATTCCTTAAATTCTTGAAGTACATTTGATAAGTTTAAATATATGACAAATGTAGTAAATACATTGTATGGTAAATTAAAGTACACTTATAAGAACCTTTCAAAATCAGGGATTAAAAAAATAAATAGGCACAAAATAAAATGATTATACGTCTGGACAGGCCACCACCAAGGCCACAGATCTTCAGGCTCCAGGTTCACAAAGTGGCAATACATTTGTGAGATGTAATTAAATACATTGGTGCTTGTTAATACAGGACTAGAAGTTGATATACACTTAAATATAAAAGCTTTAAGACATCTAAATTACCACCAACTCAAAAGTCCACTGTGCCTGTATTTTACTTCAAAAATACATTTAAATTAAAGAAAAGTAGCAAAGTTTGAACTTTAAAAATATGCTTGCCCAATAAGTACTATTTTAAGCAGAATATAAAATGTCTGTGTTACATAATACTGTATGGATATGCTTTAATATGCATTGGGTAAAGGTGGGCTAAATCTAATTTCTCTACAATTTCCCCCCTAAGAAGCAAGTCAAAATGATTTAATAATATCTTATGTAGCCTACATATACATTTGTAGAATTATTTTGAATCCCTATATAATCCAATAAATAATGGTTGCATAGTTGTTTTGTTGTTGTTTTTTCAATAGAGATAATGAGATTATTTTCACATTCTTCCGGCTAATCATTATTAGGTCACGCCCTGATAAATAAAGCAGGTGAATTCACTGATGAACTCCTGATTAGTTGAAGGTGTGTTTTTCAGGTAATGCAATTGCCCTGGCTGCCACCCACTCAGTTTTGACTTTGCTGGATTACTAGCAGGATTCAAATGTTAGTAAAATAACAAAATGTATAGTGTTTGTTTTAAAAGGATAAGATGTTATCGCTTCTCTGTAAACTGTACTGTTCTGTAGGCTAATACTTTAACTGTGGATCAATACGCATACTGCCTGAATCTGCCGGTTTGATCTCTCATTGGTACATTAATTTAGTAGATGAACCTAAATGTTCATTACAAAGTGTGTGCCCAACTGTGTGTATTAAATTAAAACGGAGCATTTTCTGTCAGCTGAGATTGTATTTCTGCTTTTTGAAACTAGTATGCTCATGTGTTTCTTTGTTATTGTCACACAATATTCTTAATGAAATATTCTAATGTCTCACTGTTATGTGGCCTTACATAATACACTTAAGTAAAAAACATGTTATTGTTATTTATTTTCTCTTAGTTTTAAATGCATTGCATTTGATATTGAGATAATCCAAAAGGAATTTTATATTTTGATATTTAGATACTTAGAAGTAACTAGTAATTGTAACAGATTACATTTTTTAAGTAACTCTCCCGCTGATAAAATTTACATTATATTGCTTTTGTTGATTGAAATATAGGCCCATTGTAATTCTCAGTCACCATGCTAGATGGTGCTGTAGCCCAACAGAGAATGAACAGCCTGTTCTCTCATGTTGTCTTTGTGGAGCTCGTTGACTTGTTTGGGAGGAGAGGCATGTCGTGCTGTTTTACATGTTGTAACCTCTAATGAGACTAGAGAATATTTTACAATTGAATTAGTTCTCAATGTGTGATTAGCCTAAACCGTGCGTTTGCTTTACTTGTTCAACCGCAGTGTGTGGCTCTTAAGTGTCTGTTGAGGTAAAGCTGTCTCGAGCTAACAATTACTGTAAGCTAGCCTTAGCAAGCTAACGCTAACAATACATGTTAAAAATCACACAGTTGTGAGATAAATACGATGTAATAACTTTTCTCCGAAGGGTTTAATGATTAAGTTTATCTAATACATTAAAGACAAATAAATAAAAAGTAAAAATACATTTCAGATATATTGAATCCCATTGAGAAATACATCTTATTAATCAATAAACATAGCCTACAGGGTATTCTAATGGGAATTTTTGGCTCATTACTTTATAAAAACGAATGCAATTTGACTGACCGTTTTTCTTTATGAGCCGATTGAAAAAAGTCACCGTTTTTGGTACATTGTGTCGGTATTTTTCACTCTTTTGTAAGAAGCTGTTGAACTTTGTCACAATGCGTCGGCTTTTAACAAGAGTCATACATCGAGTTTTGTTGTGTGGGCCGTTGAAACCGGCCATGGGCATTGAAGCAGAAATACACACACAAGGCCAACGGAGGCTGGTAAGTGTTTAACCTCAAATATGTTGCATACTGTCTACTATAAGAAAAGCAGACTTTGTCTACCATAGATTTTCTAAACCATTCAACCTGTCAAACTGGATTACTGGACTTCATAAATCCCACCAAAAACCATTCAGGAAATCAGGGAATTAAGCACTGTTGGGACAGTCCATCCCATATTTCACGTTTAAATACATGTTCTGGATCAACCCAGGCCACTTTATTATTCGATATTAAAGTGCTACATTCTTGTTAAATATCTAATACAGAAACGTGACAGCTTCAGCCATGTTGTTGTTACTAATGCAAGCTATCTTTAATTGATAGATTTTAGAATGGAGTTTGGTGACTGAGATGCAGTGGTGTAAACTAAAGTAGCCTACATTTACTCTGTACTGAACTTTCAAGGGGACTTGTACTTTACTTGAGTATTTCAATATTTTTGCTACTTTATACTTCTACTCTACTACAATTTAGAGGTAGATCGTGTACTTTTACTCCACTACATTAATTTTGTTCCTTTAGTTACTTTTTAGATTTGGAATAATGATGTGAAATATAATCAACACTTAAATACAACTTTTGTTAAACCTGGAATAAATTCCCAAGCTACCCTGCAGTATACAAAGTCATTAAAACTAGCTGCACCTTTACCAGCTTTGATAACACTTTAATGCATCAATAATAACAATGAAATCATATAATTCATAACAAAGTATTTCTTCTCTCTGCTACATGTACTTCTACTTTTACCCAAGTACAAGATCTGAGTACTTCTTCCAACTGCTTTTTCAGAGACTAGTCATAGTTTGTCCAAGGAACTTAGCCACAAAAATGGGTTTGATGGAGACTGAAAGACACAAAACAGGCATTGTAACTATACTATGATATATAAGTTGAATTCTTATTGTACCATGATAAGGACGATCATGAGTAATTTATGTTTCAATAAAAGAAAACTCTTTATTGTACATTCTCTTTACTGTACTGAGTACTGTTGGGGTAAAAGAAAATAAGAACTTAGTGTGTTGAGACAGAACACAATGTGTGCAGTGTGTCAGCTGCCCATAGAGTCTAATACAATGTAGTCTATATTGTAACTGTTAAAAAAACTGCTGCTGCTGCCAATGTAACAGTACCATCAGTACAAGGCAGTGACTGTGTGTGTGTCCTGTGTGTTTATGTCAGCCCTCTCAGCTGGCTTTCTCTCAGGAAAACAGTACATTTACCATTCTCCTTTAGGGGGTTCAACCCTTTCATTGGATGTTTCTCAATCATCTGATTCAACACTGTTAACAAAGGCTTTGTAAACGCACAGCTACTTGTTAGTAGAAGAAATTCATTGTTAGTTTTCGTCTTTAAATTAAATCTACGCCGGGTACATTTATTTATATAATACCATTCTGTGTGTGTGTGTGTGTGTGTGTGTGTGTGTGTGTGTGTGTGTGTGTGTGTGTGTGTGTGTGTGTGTGTGTGTGTGTGTGTGTGTGTGTGTGTGTGTGTGTGTGTGTGTGTGTGTGTGTGTGTGTGTGTGTGACAGGTGGTGGGGCTGGGTAACACAGGGATGGAGGGTACCAGACACAACGTCGGCATGTCGGTGCTCGGCGCGCTCGCCGCCCGGCTCGGTGTGGCTGACCGTTGGCGTGGCGACAAGCACGTGTCCGGTGAGGTCATCCTGTCAGGGGTCGCACAAACACACGTGGTGCTGCTGCGGCCCCGGCTGCTGATGAACATCAACGGAGTGTCAGTGGCCAAAGCAGGTGAGGTCACTGTGTGTGTGTGTGTGTGTGTGTGTGTGTGTGTGTGTGTGTGTGTGTGTGTGTGTGTGTGTGTGTGTGTGTGTGTGTGTGTGTGTGTGTGTGTGTGTGTGTGTGTGTGTGTGTGTGTGTATTGCAAAACAGGAGGGTGTTTGTGTGAAGGGATGATGAACTAATTGCCGAAGGGCTTATTCTCTGCTACGTTATGTCAGCTTTTTAAAAATATTTCAAAAGTTTCTGATTTAATAAAAGGCACTTTGCCAAAGTCTACTGCTTTCTTTTATTCAACAGTCAGGGTTTTCTTTCTTTCTTTTTTTGTACAAATTTAAGTTCCTGAATTATTCTTATGTAAAGCAATATGGTTGTCATTAAGGGAAAGATTCCTGGTTACATGTTCTTGAATATTCAATATGGATGATATAAAGTGTCTTTTTGTCGTCCTCTGTAGCTGCTAAATATGGCATCAAGCCTGAACACATCCTGCTGGTCCATGATGAACTGGACAAACCTCTGGGGAAAATCGCAATAAAACATGGAGGAAGTGCCAGGTTGGTTTTCATTCGCATCCTTCTCAAGATCTCAGGTTGTCTTTAATAGTTCTACCTTTTGCAGTCTGAAGGTCTGGAAAATTATAACCTTTAATGTGTCATGCTAAAAATACCTGTTTGACCACTCTGCAAGAATCAGACCTCACTGCTGGTGCAAGACATAATTACACAGATCCATTTCTTATGTGATTGTTGGAGCTATTCATTGATTTTATATTATTTCATAATCAAACATTTATTTTCTTGCTTTTATTTTAAATGCAGCTTTGGGCACCCAGTGATTTGGGCATAGAGTAATTAGGTGTTTATTGGAGACAGGTGGAGGTGGGATTGGATCACGAGAGAGGGCAAATGGGTTCTTATCTGGAAAAGCCACAGGGCATGAGAATAGGTGAAATGATTGTTCTTTGTACTATGAAATAAACGAAAACTAAAAACAACAGGATTTTTCTGCTACAGTGACATTTTTGCCACAGATGCACTTGAATCAGTGTTATAGCAAATATTGAGGCTCCCTGTAATGTTTTTGTGGAAATGACAGTTTGATGACCTGTGTTCAAATTACAGTGAAAATAAAAAATTAACTTTGACCCCAAATCTTCTTGTTCACAGAGGTCATAATGGAGTCCGCTCCTGTGTAGATTGCCTTCATACAGATGTAAGTGTCACTGCACAAATGTTCGCACGATTATTTGCATTTATTAGGGACAACCTGCTCCTCTTATTTGGATTTAGTTTTATTCTTGGACATTATAGTATTTCTTTGTATTTCTATGTTTGATTACTTTTATAAATGTAAATCTGCTGGTTAAACTCATGGTAAACAGCTCAGACATATTTCCATAGCAGTCATGCAGATAATCTCATTAAGTCTCATCCTCAATAGGCTTTTCTCTGTTTTTAAAACACAACAGCAATACGACAAAGTTACAGAAAGACAAGACATTAAGGCAAAGGAACAATTACATTAGATATAACTTAGTTTATCTAGAAGGCAATCTTTGCCAATGACGCTCAATAAAGTTACTATAATAATATCCTAATGTATACTGGTTATGCGTACAGTAAAATAAAATATACAAAAATATATATAAAAGCGAAAAAGAAACTCGCTATGGATTACCAATTTAATCTGAAGGAACTTTACCTGTGCTTTTTGCTGAAACTTTTACTGTAAAAAATGTTGAAAAAAAAATAGTCAACATTTTAATGTATCAAAAAATATATTGGTCTTTTAAAAATAAATGAAATCAAGCTCAAAACAATAGACCGGAGCTTGATCATGTGAGTGTGTTAGTGGTCTCATCCTCTTGTCTCTCCCGCAGGTGATGCCTAGACTTCGGGTGGGGATCGGCCGACCGGAGGGGCAAACGGTGGAGCGCCACGTCCTGGGCCGATTCTCAACCGAGGAGAAGAAGGTTCTGAACTCTGTTCTGGTCCAAAGTGTGGACATCCTCCTCTCCCAACTCTCCCTGCAGGACTCCCCGTCCCCTCCTTCCCAGCAGGGGGCAGACAAGCAGCACAGAAGACTCCCCTGCCGCTCACAGCTGAACCTAACTCAAAAACATGAACCCTGACAGAGAGAGGACCTTTACTGTGAATGTATTTATTCTCTGTCCTGAGATAAATGAGCCAAAGGAGACACATTTCTACCGAGCATGATTACTGCTCCAAACAATACACTTGATCCTTCTTCTTGGTAGTAGGAGTGTGTGGATGGATGCCACAGCCTCCTTAAAGCAGAGCTGCAACTGATTATGTGTGGTTTTATTTAAAGATTATAATTTACTTTATCACATTTTGGAAAATAAGCGAAAAAGAATATCAAAAGTATTGGTTACTATGGATAAGGAGGTTGTGTTTTTCCTTATTTCGGCATGATTATTGATGGACATTGATAACTAAAAAAAGCAGAGCTTATGTTTTTGATGTGAAGTCAGGAAAATCTGATCTATATCGTTACATTTTAAAATATTAAACTTGACTGGCAGAAAACATGTATCGGGAACATTCATACCATTGTTGCCTGCTCTGTGTCTACTCTAAAGCTAATAGAGATTAAAAAAAAAGTAAGATTTATATACATTTATTGTCCTTAAAGTAATACATTTTAGTTTTGGAGATACATATGACATTTCAAGTGTTTAGGCTACCATTATTTTGGAAATCACTTTCATATTAATAACAAAAAAATAAAATGTAGTCATAAATGGTTATCTGCAAGGTGGATTTAAAGGTATATAAATGCAGAAAATAATGTGGCACTAAAGGAAAATTGATTACTGATGCATTTTTGATAAACTGCTATCAGCTGATGGATCTAGCAGGAAACTAACAGACGTAAAAAACAGATGTATTGATGCGACATGGATCTTTGCAGAGTTAATTCTCTACTTGAGGAATCCTGCTACCGACCGAAGCTGGACTTTTTTTGCTGTTTTCTTTCAGAACCTCATATTTTTGCACATTATATTTCACTTGTCAGGACTCAAGCCATGCCCTAGAAACACAAATGTCTGTACTGAGATGCTCCTCTGTAGTGTGAGCACTGGAAATATCTTATTGTATCTGACGTAAAAGATAAAGAATGTAAGCATACTGTAAGCATGGTCTCATTTGTGTATTTTTCATGTGTGATGGTATTTAAGTTAATAGACTACCAAGTGGTGCGGCTCTTAGAAATCGAAAGTCAAGAATTGCACTGGAAGAAAACAAAAAGCTCTTGTTCTCCTCTTTTGCGTGTGAAAGTGTCAGCGAGCCTCCTCATGCTGTCAGCCGAACATACGCTTCTCCTCTCATGCTGCTCTCTTCCATCTTGTCCTCACTGATGTGGCTCTTTGGGCTAAAACATATTGATTTCCCCTTTGCGATTGTCACACTAATTACACTCTTCATCAATTAGATGCCTTTAATGAGTTGCATCCAGTCAAGAGGCGCACTGCGTTCTCACACAGTAGAGAATGCCGGAGGAGGGAGGCTTTCGGTGTGGGGAGGTGGCGGACAAAAAAAGCCAGAAAAGAGCATATAAAACAGCGGAAAGAGTCCGACGAGCTGCTGAATGAGGGAAATCAATACAAATGGGGCCAGTAGATTGCGATGGAGGGCTAAAGAAGAAAGGCGGGCGAGAAACAAAAGGGGCCAAACATTGTTTAGAGCCGGTTTGTTTGAGGCCTTCTGTCCTGCTGTAGCTCAGAGTCACAATAGCTGCAGGGACACACTTGTGGACATGAGGAGAAGGGGGGGGGGCTCAAAGGAAACTTCTTCCACACACACACTGAACACCCCTCACCCTCCTAAAACCCCCCGTCTTTCTTTGCTGTGACCCTGTTGAGCCACCCTCCGCCTCCATCAGGCCACTTTCCCAGCCCCTCCTCGCTGGTCAGCTTTAGGAGGCTTCACCAGTGCCTTCAATAGCGTTTCTTCTGAAAGGGCCAAAGGTCAGCAGTGGGGCTGGACACCTGGGTCTTTAGAAGAGACCCTAAACGTATTCAGGAATGGGACCCCAAACCTTCCCCCATGCTCTACAGTCAGGCGTAGCAGGCCTAACAGTGGCCCGGTGGGGGGTCTTCCCACAGATGTGCTAACCTTTCAGAAACATACAGGCCAGCTTTAAACTGATGAAGCTAATTAAGTAGAACTACATAGAATAGAACATATTCTCATTTACCATCTTTTAAAGTTGAAATCGTACATTTTAGCCTTGCAGCTCAAAGGATGGAGATGAAGGTTGGTCAGTCCAACACTTGTGTCCTGACGGAAATACCTCCACAACTATTGGATGGATTGCCATGAATTTAGGTGCAGTCTAATCCTTTGAGGACTCTTACCATCTCACTGTTGACTTTTTAATTTAATTTAAATATCTCAACAACTATTTGTAGGATTGCCATCGATTTGCTTCTGATACTCCAGTTTAAGAACTACAAAGAATAGAAAATGTTGTCCTGACTGAAATACCTTGACAACTATTGAATGGATTGCCATGAATTTTGATGCAGTCTGATGCTTTGAGGACCTTTCCTTTCGTACCAGTGTTGACATTTGTGTTTTTATTTAAATATCTTAACAACTTTTTGAAGGATTGCCATTGAATTTGTCTTTGATGTGTTGACTCGTCTTGGTGTTCCCCAGAAGATATATTATATTGAATTTTCCAAAAAGGTAAAAAGGTGTCACCTATAGAGTGGTGCAGTGAGCCAAAAAGTTAGCATCGCAAGGGGTCCTTCGATAAAAAGTAATGGGATGCTCCATTCAATCGCCAGAAATGCAAAAGCGTTTCTGCGGACGTGCATGATTTGGGTAGTTTGTTCCAGAGTGTTGGGGCATAATAGCTAAATGCTGCCTCTCCATGTTTTGTTGTTACTCTCGGAACCGATAGCAGACCCGTCCCAGAAGACCTTAGGCACCTTGATGGCTCGTAATTATGTAGGAGTTCAGCAATATACTTTGGTCCTAAACCATGTAATGATTTAAAAACTAGCAATAGTACTTTAAAAGTAGCAAATGTTGCATGGATATCGTTGGGCCACCGCTGCCATCAGATTGACTGATTATTAGTATTTTACTTTCAGATATCTCAGCAACTATTATGTATTGGCTTTAAATTTGGCACAAATTGGTAGATCATACAAAGAGGAAGAATTTTACACCTAAACTACCAACTAGCGCCACCATCAGGTTCAAATATCTTAGTTGGTTACATCTGTTTATGATCCAGGACCTGCACCAGCCTCAGCTATACTTAATTGTGTTAATGTTAATTACGAATTGTTTGCATGCTAATATCATACACTAGATGATAAAACTTATTAAACAGATGATAAGATGCAAACATGTTGTCCCTGGTGATGTATCAACAAGAAAACTAATTCTCGATGAATGGCCACTCTAAAAGACACAGTTGTTCTGGTTCCATACGGAAAGTGGCATCCCGACTACATACTGACCCTATTACCTTGGCAACCTGTAGCACCCCCAACCTGCTGCAGAGGCATGTGGCTTCAGAAGTGTCAACATAAAGGACAACAAGAGTGACTCTTATTCTTGGTGTGAGGAGTTTGAAGTGTGGACATCAGCAGTCTCCAGCTGAGTTGCAGGCACCAGTAGGGGCCCCATGGAAGTGGAGCAGAGAGTAATATCCCCAGGACCTCACACTCGTAGTGGTTTTTATAAGTATATTGTGATGTGTATACAATCAGTTTTTTACATTATTATTGGCCTGTTCCTTTGATATACTGTAGAGAATCTATTGTCTTATGACTGTCATCATTTCCAAGTACATACAGTAGAAATAGGGCTGTTTTCTTATTTCCGCAGCATTATAATGCGATACAGATATATAGAATAGAATATAATCCTTTATTGTCATTATACAGGTATATATATATATTAAGCTATATTCTGCTTACTGTGCTTATTTTATCCCCATCAGTGTAGGTTACCCTCATGATAATAACCTATGCCCTATATATTATCCAATAATATTTCTCCAGGGACTGAATAGCAGTCTTTAGTGACCTTAATGTATTGTATCTCTTGTTGTAGTACTGTAATGTTCCAGTAGGGACCTTTAGTATCTTTCAGCATCAATACCATTTCTTTTTACAGTAGCCTACACTCTGAAGCCGTGATGATTTCCGTGTGTTACAGTGAATCCAGGCCCATTGGGGATCCTTTTCTCTATCGTCTCCCCTTTCATAGCTGTAATCTCCAGTGATCTCCCGCACTAAATTATTCTTGCAGTGCCATGAAAAGGCAGCCGCGGTGCCCTTTAAGAGGCAAATGAGCATCCAACGTGCAAAGATGTTCCCAGCAACGGAAATGTTAACTCACCGTACACAGCAGAGCAGAGGAATCCACTGACATGTCTGATGAGAGGGAAAGCAAGGGTCCACCATTTCAATAAAGGCAAAGCCTGCTGTGTAATTTGTCCTTCAACCCCTTGACTGACTGTTTACATTTGCCTTTACGCTGATGTTTTTGTACAGAGCGGGGTGCAACAATAAAAAAGGATATTCACATGTTGGATTATCACCCTGGGATCCAAGATAGGCTATAGGTTTTCTTTAGAAGCCAATAAAACACAATCATATTGAGTTTTTGTTCCTATTCATTGTTAATTTGAGGGTATAAAGCTTTGAAGTGAAGTGAAACCCAGACCTAAGAATTTATTTCATGGTGAGAAGCTGATCTACAGACCAATATTGACAACAATATTGAGATAAATGAGGATTAATATATTTTGGTTTTAACGTTTCGCTGCATCTTTAAGAATGACTATTGCTCAGCTATTGTTGAAGGAACATTGTTTTGCAGAATTGTTCAATGCCAAATAATTTTTGTCCAATGGGTTGCTTGCAGTTCTAGACCCCAAATCACAAGTATTCAGTATCTGTACAAGAATAATTTTCCACGGCAGCACTGGAGGTCAAAGGGACTCTTGTTTTTTTTTATCTTGAGACGGCCATGCCTGTGTCATAAGGATTCTGTATGCTGAAAACAAACCACACATAATTATTATTCATGTATATTTATGTATATCAGTTGAAATATAATTGGAAAAAAAATTTTGCGGCTCTTAACAGCTGGCTGCTGGCCAAACGTAAGTGCGATTTTGAAAGTTACCAAATCTGAGGCTTATTTTGATTACCTTCAAACAAATCTCCGTATTTGTTCATGAGCAGTGAAATGAAATCATGTGAAGTTTCAATACTGACAAATACCGACAAAATATTACAGATTACATTCTCATCTGTAATATTCATTTCGTTTTCATTCATAATTTTATAGACTGTATAGTCACCAGGAGGTCTCCCAAAAGTTTGTGGACTACTTTTTCGTATACGTATACTTTCATAAACTGGCAACACATTGTGAAAGTTAATGAATGGGGCTCCCAAAGCAGTGATACACCATGGTAGGGACACGTCAATCGTAAGGTAATCCCGCCCTAAAGCATACCCCGCTTTACTTTCTATTTCACTCTGAATTGGAACCTACATTACAAACTTAACATCATGCTGTATTAACCTGTTAAGGGGGCAGTGGCTCCCGCAACATCTTGCAAGAAACAGCGTCTGAGGGTTTCTTAACATTTAACAAGCTATGAATGTGTCATACCCACTTAACGGGAAGAAACTCAGCTACCTGACGATATGAATTTTTTTTACCGAAACAAAACACAAGTCTAACGCCGAGCCTCTAAATGAGCACTAAGCGAAATAGTGCTATAGCACTTAACACATACCTCACGGTAGAAATAATAGGCGCTTTCACGCCGGAGTACTTTTCCCAGTATAGTTCCGATATAGTTCCGAAAATGTGCGTTCACACCAAAAAAATCCAGAACTAGAACTTAGTTCATGAGAACCTTTCCACCCCCCTTTTCAGTCCCTGCTAGAGAGCAGGTATTTTCATGGGAGAAAAAGGTTCCTATGTCTGATTGGCTGGGCGGATTGCAAACCACGCCCCGTAAAACTCTCAAAAAGTTTTGTTAACTCAGCTACCTGACGATATTATTTTTTTTTACCGAAACAAAACACAAGTCTAACGCCGAGCCTCTAAATGAGCACTAAGCGAAATAGTGCTATAGCACTTAACACATA